CCCAGGTAAGGCATTTCACGCAAATTCTCCCCAAGAGGGAAAACATAAAATTGTAAAGTATCCCTATTGCAAAACCAAACACCTAGTATCAACAGGTAAATTCAAATTGACTGTTCACACAAATGAAACTTTACTGTGTATTTCCTAAGCAAAATGTCCAACTCAGAAAAATTTAGCACTTTCAGGTGGTTCCTTAAACATTATCACTTTCCATTCCAATGTAGACAACAGTTGGGCTCCAACAGTCCTCATAACAAGTGCCCAGCTGGCTGCCAGAAATCATGATTTATCTATAATGACATTTTTAAGAACATCCAGTAAAGTCTCTAAGGACCTACCAAAAGATGTAATAGAGTACTGGCTTACTCTGGGTTTGATCCTCAGCATCAAAAACAGCAAAAAAAAAAAAAAAACAGTAAAAACCCTAAGTAGACAATTTTCAAAAGATATACAAATGATAAACAGGCATATTGAAAACTTGTTCAATATTACTACTCCTTAGAAAAATACAAACTGCTGGGAGGTGATGGCACACGCCTTTAATCCTAGCACTTGGGAGGCAGAGGTGGGCAGATCTCTGAGTTCAAGGCCAGCCTAGTCTACAGATTGAGTTCCAGGACAGCCAAGCTACATGGAGAAACTGTTTGGGGGAGGGGAGGCAATACAAATAAAATAAATAAATAAATGAATTCTAGGGAAAGGCTTAGCAGGTTAAAACACCTGCTACCAAAATTAACAATCTGAGTTTGATCCCTGAGACTCATATAGTGGGTTAGCAAACCATTTCCCAAAAGTTATCCTCTGATCTCCAGACATGTGCCATAATATACAAACTTCGAAGTGCACTATTTCAATTTAATGAGATATCATTCTACACAGAATACCTATTTTAAAAACTACTTGTTTTTTCGGGCTTTTTAGGGTTTTTTTGTGTGTGTGTGTGTGTGTGTGTGTGTGTGTGTGTGTGTGGTGTTTTTTCAAGACAGGAACTCACTACAAAGTTCTACATGTCCAGAAACTCACAATGTAGACCAGGCAAATCAGGCTGGCCTTGAACTCAGAGATCTGCCTGCCTCTGACTCCTGAGCCTAAAGGCATGTTCCACTGTGCCCCAGCTAAAAAATTATCCTTAAGCCATCTACCAAATTACAGGGTATGGTAGAGTACACCTTTGATGCCAGCACTAGGGAGGCAGAAGCAGGTGGATTTCTGAATTTGAGGTCAACCTGACCTACATAGCCAGCTCCAGGTCAGCCAGGGCTCAGGGCTACACAGAGAAACCCTGTCTTGGGGAAGAAAAAAAGACATCCATCAAGTGTTGGTGAGGATTGTAAGCAAACAGAACCCCATCTCACATCAATGGAAAGGAGGAAAAATGATGTAGTAACCATGGAAAACAGTGAAGGATCCTCAAAACAATAAAAAATGGAACCACATTATGATTCAGCAATCTCACTTCTGGATATTTACCCAAAGGAACTAAAATCAAGCTTTCAATGTCAGCCTGATCTAGAGAGCAAGTTCCAGGGCACCCAGGGCTACACAGAAAAATCCTGTCTCAAAAAATAAAAGTTTCAAAGAAGCAACTGCATTCCTATATCCACTGCAGCATTATGCACAACAGCCAAAATATAAAAACAACATTAGTAAAAAAATATAAAAGCAACATTAATGCCACATGCCAGGTAAATGAGTAAAAAATATGGTCTATGTATATATGAAGTATATACACTAGATTATTATTCAATCTTTAAGAACGAAATTCTTCCACTTACAACATAGACAAACCTGGAACACATTATGCTAAGTGAACTAAGCCAGACATGAAAAGATACTGTATGATGTCATTCGTATGTACAATAGAAGACTCAAATATGCAAAATGAACAAGAGTGACTGCCAAGAGCTAAAGGGATAAAGAACAGGGAGGAGAAGCAGTGGTCAAAGCCAACAAAGTTTCTTTTATGCCAGATAAATTCTAGAAAGCTACTATAAAGCATTGACTACAGCTAAAAATATTGCATCTCACCCAAAAAGAAGTACACTGTATCATACCCATAAAGGACCACTGTATCAAAGAGAAAAGGAAATAATTGTATCATGTTGAAAACTGAGATATAACAATAGAAGTGTTAAAGAAAGCAGAAAAACTATAGAAGTGATTGCTGTGCCTGTGGTTTTCATGGTGGTGACAGTTTTATAGGCTTATTCTTATCCCCAAACTCCTCAGGATCTGTCCTGGAATGATGACACCTGAATGTAATTCCAGCACTCAGGAGGCAGAGGCAGGAAAATCAACCACCACAATGCCCAGGACAGCTTGGTCTACTTGTCAAATTCCAGGCCAGCCAAAAAGAAACAACAAGACCCTGCCTCAAAACAACAGCAACAAAATTAACTTAAATAAAAAAAATAAACTTAAAAGTAGAAAAGAGGACTTTTTTTTGAGAAATCATTCCAATACATTCAGAATGCTTCCTACTTTATGTGCTTCACTACATAGATATTACTTAAGAATAAGGTAAAACTCTAGGAATAACCCTTGGTGCTATGATTTTATAAAGCAAATGGACAAATAACAAGAAAGTAAATGAAATAATTTAAAATCATGAGAAGGGAAGAAAAGTCAACATAAAATATGAAAAACAATACAAAAGTAGGGGAAAAAACTCTTTAATCACTATGGTACAAAGAGAATATACTTCTTAGTATAAAAAAAGAGGGTGTTCTAAAGCATTCAATCCCCATCAAACCAGGCTTTACAAACAGGAAGAAATGTCTATTAAAGACCCCACAAATACAAAGGGTATATTTAAGCATACCAGAAAGGATAAACTAGGAAAACTAAATTCCTATAACATAAAACCAAATTAAAGAAGACCTAACCAAGTTCAAATCAATTTACTTCAGGAATACACAACAACAACAACAAAAAACACAACATGTTTCTTATAGGTAACATTGAATAAACTTGATAAATTGAAACCTGTAACTTTTCTTTTTCTCTGGGCCAATAACTCACAGTATGAAGTAAGAATATCTCTAAAATTCCTCAGTGAATTAGATCTATCATCCATCATACCTATAACATAAATCCCTTTAAGAATGAAAGGCAAATATTTCAAAGTAAATCTTAAGAGCCAACTGTTTATAGTCTTTTAAAACAGTTTTAAAAAGAGTTCTCAAAATGATGTTTCATTAGTATCTTTCTAGAAAAACAATCTTTCATTCTTCTAGCCATTTAAAATCTACCAAATGTTCATTTCTACATTAGACTATTGATTCTTTGCCTTTTAACATCTCCATAACAGCTGCCTGACAAATTACCTCACCTTATTCCTCAGGGGGTAAGGACAGCATGAGATCCCTGAATTCAAAAATGGGACCACAAGCCGATCAGTGAGAGATGAGCTAATTGCCTCACTGCTGTCAAATGAGTTTGACACTGCTCTAATAGACTAGGCATTCATGGCATGATACAATTACATGCTTACACTCTAAATATTTTATTTGCACTTAAGTGTAGAGGACATGTTGTTCTTTAAAATTAAGAATGTGATAGTGTCACTAAGTTAAGAAATTCATAGGATAGTTTCTACAGGAAAAAAATCAATCTTCAGAACACTTAGCTTAATCAAAGAGATCTATGCACTCCTAAAAGTCTACTAAATTAAATCAGCTCAAAAATACTTTCCAGATTTTTCACAGAAAAATATTTCCAAAGACACAATAAATGTATTTCACAGCATGATAAAATATTTCTGTTGCATATACTGATTCATTCTGGTTGGTGCCAAAACAGCAAAACACAGAAAAAAACATATATAAATAATCCACAACTTTACAAACACTAAGTAACAAAAATGTTGCGAATTTAAATTGGAGGAATAATTTAAGTAACATTGTTTGACCAAATGACTCTTGGAAAGTCAATCTCTTTCTAGGCATTATCCAATTGGTACTTTGAATTCAGAACCAATCCCATAGTAACACAAATGTCTTATTAACTTTAAAGTGACACCTGTGGGAAGAGTAGTTTGAATTCCAGAAGCAGAGAGACAGGGGATCAAAGCCCAGTCTGTGGGGTGAGATCCAGGACAGCCAGAGCTACATAGTGAGACACTGCCTCAAAAAGAAAAAAATAATAATAATAAATAGCTCTGCTTTACACTGTGGGTGATCAAAGTTCAGGATCTCAGATCTCGTCTTTTTACAGAACTAAATCATCTGCTTCTTCGAGTGTCACTTCTGCAACTGTAGGGACAATAACAGTGCTAGCTTGGCTTTTGTAAACCATTTCCTTAACAGAAACGTAGAAAGCATGTCACTTCGGAATGAGGGTGCCCACTCGACACGTTTCTTTCTACACACACCTTTTATGACTTGAAAGTACTCTGCTCCTTGGTAGATGAACCTCGGTTCACCTTACAGCTTAGAGCGCCGCGGCTTCTCTGCCTTGCCTGGAGAGGCGTTAAGCGTTGGTTTTGTTTTTAAAGTTGGTGTCAGAGCAGCTACAAACTTTTTTTCAGCATCCCTCCCTGCCTGCCAACTGGAGCTCTGCTCACTTCCTCACCAACTTGAACCACCCCCAAACTAAGTAAGCTCAGTTAGACAGCGGCAAGAAAGCGGCAAGAGCTGACACACTTTCAAAAAGGGTTTGACACCGCGGAAAACTTTCACTTCTCTCTTGTCCCCTTCCAAGCCAGGGACTGCAGCTCTACATTCTTGCTTCCTCTAGAGTTCCCCTCTGAGACAGGGCAAGGACACGGAAGGCAGACCGTTCTAATGTCCCCGAAAAGGACCCCAAGAGCCCTCTCCCGCGGACTCGAGTGCTGTTCCCTAACACAAAAGAACCGGGCCGGCACAGCCAAGGTGCTGGAGTCACCGCGGCCCGTCGGCGGCTGCCACCCTCCACCGCACCCGCAGACGGTCTCCGGCCAGACAAAGCCCGGGCGGCCGGGCCGCCGCTCCCAAGTCTCGGCCGCGGGCCGCCGCTCTTACCCGGGCCTCGTCCAGGGCGCCGCCGCTTCCCCCGGTCTTGGCTGCCGGGCAGCTGGCCGCGCGCGTCTTGGAGGAGCGGGTCCGAGAGGAGATGAAATGGCTGCTGCCGCCGGTCTCCCCCGGCTCCGCTCCGGCCCCAGGCCCAGGCCCGGGCCCAGGAGACTTGGACCCGAGAAGGCGCAGAGAGCTCTTCCGGGTGTTCACCATGATCCAGCCAGGGGGACCGGGTCCACGCCGCGCCCGCCGCTCCCGGGAGAGGCGAGGAAGGCCGGCCCGCCGGCGGGCAGTCAGGGCCAGCGGAGCCTTGCCGGGCCGGCTCGCGTTGCCTCTGTGGGACACAGGCCACGACAAGCAAGAGCGGGGCAGGAGGCAGCGGCAGCGCGAGGAGGCGGGGAGCGGGAGGCGGAAGCGAGGTTGCAGGCCGGCGCCACAGACCCTGCGCCCGCTCTGCCGTCTTCAGCGGGAGCCGAGCGGAGCCGCCATGTCTGCCCCTTTCTCTCTCGTTCTCTCTCTCTCTCTCTCCCTCTTTCGAGCTCCGTGCGTCAGGGCTCTGGCGCTGCAGGGCCGACGAGGCCACTTCCGGACGCGGCCGCTGCGGGGCGCTGCAAGGACGCGCAGCCCTTCGCTCTCCGCAGCCTCCGTAGGCCCCGCCCCTCCGTGACGTCAGCGCCCGGCGGGGCGGGGGAGGGAGGGAGGCGCTCAGGGCTGTGTGAACTCGCCGGCTGCTAGGTTTCACCGGCCTGTCTAGACTGGGGGATGGGTACAGCCGACTACGGCGCGGGATGGGTTCCCGGGTGGACCCTTCAACGCCCGGCCCAGGACCGAGGACCCCAAACACCCGCGACTCCTGCGGGGACCTGGATGACGCAAGGAACGGCTGACCGAGGCGCGGGGTTGAAGGGGACTGGAGAAGAGGGGAGTTCCAAATGCCTACCTACCTAAGGCAAGAAAGACCCTTAATAATGAACTTGGGCTGCACTTTGCACCGCTGTCCAAATGATAATGGCCACGCTAGGTAAATTAAGAGGGAAAAAAAGTACCCTAGGAACCTTGCATCTTTTTTAACTCACTATGCAGATCAGGCTGGCCTTGAACTCTTAAATATATGCCAGCTTCTGCCTCCCCTCCCGGGATTAAAAGGGTTACAGGCGGTAAGCATAGAGAAGCTGTGTTGTTTCCTATGACCTTAGCCAAATCTACCTGGGTGATTTTAGCAGCCTCGTTTATCACCACTCCACCCGTGTGCAGAATTCAGACAAAACATTTCCAAAGTGGTGGGGGGGGGTGAATAAAGTACACATAATATGGAAAGATCTGCTGTTATAGAGGGAATAATGAATGCTCAATTCAAAACATCGGTTTACTAGAGAAAAAGAGCCTACTCTTTATTTGGGCAGAAATTCCCCTGGTTATTCCACGGAAAAAGTTGAAGAATGAAGAAATACATGTTAAAAAAAAAAAAAAAAGAAAACATAGCAACAGCATTTTAGCCATGTAAGTCCCCAGCCAGAAAAATTAATTAATGAGCTTCGTTCAGCCTCACAATAAAAGAATAAAGGTCTGTGTACAGAGTAATTTGAATTCCAGAAACACAAAACACTTGGGTGGCAGAGACAGGGGATCTATATGAGTTCAAAACCTAGTCTACAGAGAGAGTTCCAGAACAGCCATAGCTACATAGTGAGACCCTATCTCAAAAGAAAACCATAGTTCTGGTTCTCCGGAGAGCTCAGTGACGGAAGGACATGGAACCAGTGCACTGTAATGCAAAGGTGGTAAAGACAGGACCCTAAGTGAACAAGGATTTAAGGAAGGCCTCCAGAGATGCGCCTTGAACCACAAAATGAGGGGAAGACATCATGGACAAAGAAAAGCTTGGAGAACATAGGACACAGTTTCTACCAGAGGGAAAAAATAACAAGTCAATAAAACACTTCCAACTTTATTTAAAGCTATATACATATAAGACAGGAGTACAGTGTAGTGGCAGAGCACTTACTACAGGATGCACACCCCCACCCCAGGTCAAGCTAGTACAATAAAGAGAGAGTTACCAGAGTGAACAGGTTGCTACATTCAAGAGGTTACTTTGGGAACACCAGAAAGCTAAACCCTAGAAGGAAGGAAGACAAAGTTCTAAAAATCGATTTGGGCGGGTCCTGGCCCATGCCTTTAATCCCAGCACTCCTGAGGCAGAGGCAGGCGGATCTCTGTGAGTTTGAGACCAGCCTGGTCTACAAGAGCTAGTTCCAGGACAGCCTCCAAAACCACAGAGAAATCCTGTCTCAAAAAACCAAAAAAAAAAAAAAAAATCGATTTGGTTTTCAATGCATTTGTCCTATCTCAGGAAACTCACAGCCTCTCTATTCTGTTCTGAGAGATAAAAAGGAGCTGCATACAGTGGCATGCATCTTTAATCAGGAAACTGAACTAAGACAATCTCAATTTTAAGTCTAGCCTGGACTAAGCAGCAAGGTGAAGGTCAGCCTGGGCTACATTGCCAGACCCTATCTATTAAAATTTTTTAAAAAAAGACAAGCATTCTAGGAAAGAGCCCCAGCACTGACCTTCACTCCTGGCCTTGTGATTTATTGTCCAGACAAGATCTTGCTAAATTGCCGAGGCTAGCCTATGTACAAATTTACAATTTTGCTATTTCAGTCTCCTAGGCAATTGGGATACCAGGCATGCACTGCCATGGTAGCTATGAAAAAATGCTCTTGTAATGATGTTAGGACAATTAGATATAATTAGATATACATTTATGAATAAAAACTCTTTACTACTGCCTCATGCATATTTACTTTAAATTTACTAGAGACATACATAAAGCTGTCAGTTCTTTTAACTCAAAATTTTTATGAACATAGGAAAACTTTTTTGTTGTTGTTTTATTTTTTCAGACAGGGTTTCTCTGTAGCTTTGGAGCCTGTCCTGGAACTCATTCTGTAGACCAGGATGGCCTTGAACACACAGGGATCAGCCTACCACTGCCTCCCAAGGACTGGTATTAAAAGCATGCACCACCACCACCTGGACTTATAAGACATTTCTTATAAATGACACAAAAATATAAACTATTAAAAGGATGATAAATTATTTAAATAAGAAAAAAAACAGTTGCTTCTGAAAGATACCTGTTTTTAAAGCTAAAGAATGTGCCTCAGGACCTTAAAAATACTAGGCAGTGCCCAGAATTCAAAAGGCAGAGGCAGGTGGACCTCAGTGAGTTTTTGACCAGTCTAGTCTGCATAGCCAGCCAGGACTACCTAGTGAGAACCTGCATGAGATCCTGTCTCAAAACGAAACCAAATGACATAACTGTATACAAAAAATCACATAACAGATGAACAAATAAATGAAATACACACACCTCCAAAGCTGATTCAAAAGAATATTAAAAATCTAAACAGACCTGGTTAGCTGCTGTTTGATTTTTGTCTTCTGAGAATGGGTTTCTCTATGTAGCCCTGACTGTCCTGGAACTTACTCTGTAGACCAGGCAGACGTTGACACTCACAGAGATCTGCCTCTTGTCTCTTGAGTGATAGGATTAAAGGCGTGTGCCTCCAATACCACCCAGGGTAAAGCAAAATTCTTAAAACAAAACAAAACAAATCCAGCAGTTTGACAAAAAGATTATATATGACAAACTGAAATTTTCCCCAAAACTATTCAACAAGGAAATACAATTTTCTGAAGTAAATGGTACTGGCAAAATTGTACACTGGACCGAGAGATTTAAACAAAAAAAAAAAAAAAGAAAGAAAGAAAAGAAAAGAAAACCTGGCCTTGAAATTTGCATGGATTTGCAGAGGTCCCTGAGTAGCAAAATCAATCCCAACAGAAGAACAAAATTGAAGGACTCACATCTTCTGGATTCAAAACCTACAAGCCACAAGCAATGATACATGCCTGCAAGCCTCTAATCTTGGAAGGCAGAAGCAGTAAGAATAAGGAATCCAAGATCAGTCTTGATTATGAGGCAAGCCTGACCTGTTTTAAATGTCACCTAATAGTCAGGAAAAACACATCAGTGTTCCCAGATGTGCCTAGTGCTGGAGTGCCTAGGTTTGTGGGAAAGCACTCCGTAAACCTGGTCTGGAAGAACTTAGAATGCCAGTACCCAGGACATAGATGCAGGAAGACTAAATCTATATCAAGGCCAGCTTTTGCTAAATGGAACCCCGTCCGAAACGGAAAGAAAAAAAATACAGAAATAAACCTATAGAGCTGCGGTCATTTTATTTTGTTGGTTAAGACAAGAGTCTCAGTATGGAGACCAGATGGACCTTAAATTTACATTGTTCTACATTCTCCCCAGTGCTAGCCATGCAAGCACATGCCCCCACACCGGGCTGGTAAATTGACTTTTGGCATGGGAAAGAATCTTTTCAAATGATATTAGAACTAACCCTATAATAAAACCAAGGACAAAAAGGCAAAACATTAGAGGAGCCTTACAGTAGGATCAAAAAACTGTCTGGGCAGGGCAATACATGTCTACAATCCTAATATTTGACAGACTTGAGACAGTAGGGTCTTGAGATGCCAGTATAGAGACACATAAGCAGGCAAACACCCAAAGATATACACATAAAATTTTGTTTGTTTTTGTTTTTTGTTTTTGTTTTTTCAAGACAGAGTTTCTCTGTGTAACAGCCCTGGTTGTCCTGGGACTCACTCTATAGACCAGGGTGACCTCGAACTCAGAGATTCACCTGCCTCTGCCTCCCAAGTGCTGGGACTACAGGCGTGCACCACCACCGCCCAGCCACATAAAATTTTGTAAAAATCTAAAAAAAAGTACAGCACACAAACACACATATATATTGGCTGTATCTAAGCAGAGGTTGCTGTAGAAAATGCACCAGCCTAACAATTTTACATAAATTATCTTTGCATCTTTCACTGTTGGAAGCAAACGTAACTCAACAGACAGGAGAGCAGGAGCACAGTTTGAGAGCTAAACTCACCACAGGATCTCTGAACCGCCGCCTCTCATTAGATCTTCGAAAGAATCCCAAATTGTTTTTACCTGGGTGGGGAATGGTTGGTAGGGGAGGCCCAATCTCAAGCTGACTTCAGGCACTAACAACTGTCAAATAAAAAGCAAATCCCAGTTTAGGTAAATCTAGATCTACGCAGAAAGATTGTTGCAGTGGATAGGGAAGGGATGACCCACCCAGTGCTATGAGGAATACTATTGCCATAGGGGGAATGTGCAAATGTCAGATAAAAACCAAATCTAAGGCGGGTGGGAGTGTAGCTTAGTGGTAGAGACAGACCTTGTCTAGAATGTAAAAAGCTATGGTTCCATCTCCAACCACAACTCTAGATTTTGAATTAAGAGACTTGTTGTAGCCGGTGTAGTGGCACACACCTCTTTAATCCTAGCCCTCAGGGAACTCAGGCCGGTGCCTCCAGACTGATCTACATGGTGAGTTTCAGAACACATGTAAGACCCTGTCTTGAAAAGGAGACTATTGCATACAGGTAAATCTAAGAGATCTGCACCCTGTTCCTGAATTAGACAGATAGGGGCTTTCCTTATTTTTTGGGGGGGCTCTTTTCTTGTATAGGGAAGAATAAATGAAGTCAGAAAGACGTGGGTGGAGGAAAGTGGACCAGTAGACAGTGGACCAGACAGGACCTAAGAGTTTTGTTTATTACAAGGTCAACGTGCTTTCTGGAGCAAGCAAATAAATAAATAAATAAATAAAGTGTGTGTGTGTGTGTGTGTGTGTGTGTGTGTGTGTGGTGCTTCCTGTCTTAAGCTGAGGGTGTGCCAAAGTCTGAGAATCGGGGACTAAATATGCTTCACTAAAGTGTAGTGATCTCAGAGCAGCTGTTTTTGACCACACAGTTATTACAAACAAGTTCTGCTAATCATTTATAGAGATCGGGAATCTATATGCCTTGACCGTGTCTTGAATATACAAAGGGGCATCTCCGAGTCTTATCTAAATCCTATAGGAAGTCGACTCCAGAGGCAGAGGCAGGAGGATCTCTGTGAGTTCAAGGCCAGCTTGGTGAACAGGGAGTTGCCAGAGCCACACAGAAAAACCCTGCCTCGAAAAACAAATAAATACGTAAATAAATAAACCCTACAGGGAAGAGTGGTCTTTGTGGTGACCTTCAAGAACGCAAAGAGCGAGGGACTTTAACTGTCACTCTTCAGATAATAGGGCTCGGGTGAAGTTCACTGACAAGGAAGCAGGGAAGTCCGAGGAAGGCAAGAGGCACAGAAAGAAACAGGTCGACGCTGAATTTTCTCAGGTGAACGCCCACCTAGCTCCTGGCATTTTCCGCGCCTCCTAAGGAGGCGACAAGCAGCGGGGCGGGCGGCAGGGAGGAGACCGCCGCCATTAGTGCGCGCCGAGCGGAGGCCTGAGCAGACCCGCCACGGGAAGCCCCGCCCCCGGCGCGCTCCCGTCAGCCGGGCGCGCTCCTCAGAGCCGCGCGGAGCCGTCCCCGGGGCGCGTCGGGCAGACTAAGGGAGGCGGACGGCGTCCCCGCGGCGCGGCCGCTGGTCTCTGAAGAGGGTCTCGGGACGCTCCCGGCCTGAGGGGCTCCGGCCGGGCGGCGGCGCTTGCAGACCCACGCGGACTGAGGACTAGGCCGCGGGGCCGCGCACTGAGGTGAGTCTCCCGGCTCCGCGCCGCGATCGGCGGGCTGAGCTGGTCGGACGGGCGTTTCCCCGGCGGCACCCCGGGCTTGTCGCCTGCCACCGCGGCGCTTCTGGGCCGCGGTGAGTCGGCACGACTGCGGCCGGGGAAGGACGCCGGCGGCCAGAGGCCTCCACCCCGGCCCCAGCCCGGCCCAGGTGAGTGCGGACCTGCGGCTCCCACGCTCTGCGAGTCTCGCGAACCCGCTGGAAGCACGGTGCGCTTCTCTCGCGCGCTCTGGTCTCTGAAGGCGACCAGAAACTTGGAGTTAGATGCGGTCGAGACGTCTCCATTCCCAAAGACGAACGAACGCTGCCCAGAGCGCACTCCAGAAATACAGGACTTGTTCGCTGGACATCTCGTTATTGACTTCACCCGCATTGCCTAGCTCGCTTTGACATTCTGGAAATCTGATGTTCGCTGTTTCCCTAATTTTTTTATTTTTTAATTCTCTTGCGCCCTGCCCCCTCACTCCTTTTTTACTCGTAGTAATACAAGTTTGTTACTTGTCTGCAAATATGATTGTTAGAGTGGCCTCCAGTGTTGGTTCGTTTGTATGTAATTTGAAATGAAAAAATAGGGGACTGATGATCTGTATTGTTAAAAACAGTCAGCCGGGCGTTGGTGGCGCACACCTTTAATCCCAGCACTCGGGAGGCAGAGGCAGGCGGATCTCTGTGAGTTCGAGGCCAGCCTGGTCTACAAAGTGAGTTCCAGGACAGCCTCCAAAGCCACAGAGAAACAAAAAAAAAAAACAGTCTCATTAGCCCTACCTGCGGTGGTGGTGCACGCCTTTTATCCCAGCACTGGAGAGGCAGGTGGATCTCTTGAGTTCAAGGTCTCATTAACAAATCTTGGCTGGCCGGGAATATCTGTCAGCTTCTGTCTTCTAAGAGTTGGTATTAAAGGTGTGCACCACCATGCCCTCTTTTCCCCCTAGGGACAGGATTTACGTAGCCTTGGCTGGCCTCGAACTTTCTAAGTTTCCATTGAGGCCTGAAACGCAGGCATTTTCCTGCTTATGCTTCCTAAGTACTGGCATTACAGGCGTGAGTCATCTCCTGAGTTGTGTCGGTGTTAATGCAGGGAATATTGGTGTGATAACACTGATATTAGTGGTAGGTAATTGTGAAATGCCAAAGTCAGAATTGTGTACAGGTAGACAGGAGAGGTTGATTACATAGAGCTAAGAGGAAGAATACTGTAGATAACAGTTACTACTTGAGCATTTACTCTTAAGAAAAAATGTTATTTGCTTCATGTGCACAACAGGTGTTTTGTTTACATGCATGTCTGTGCACCATTTTTGTGCTTGGTACCTGTGGAAGGCAGAAGTGGGTGTAAAACCCTTGTAGAACTAGAGGTACAGATGGTTTCGAGCCACCATGTGGGTACTAGGAAGTGATCCCAGGTACTCAGTGAGCTATCTCTCCAGCCTCTTTTTGCCTTTATCACCCACTGGGGGGGGTGTTTTTTTTTTCTTCAAGACAGGATTTCTCTGTGTAGCCCTGGCTATCTCCTGGAACTCTGTAGTCCCGGCTGGCCTCAAACTCGACACCCACCTGCCTCTGCTGGGATTAAGGGTATGCACCACCACCACCACCCAGCAAGCCCAAGTGTTTTCATAAGCTTGACTAAGTCTTGTAGCACTGAGTTACACCCAGTCTTGCTTGCATACTTTCCTTAAGTAACCTTTACTGGGGAGGAACACACAAATATGTCCAATCACCCCAGGTAGGGCACCACTGACAGACCTGAGTTGGATTCCATTGAAGTTCAACTTCCCTTGGCACACTAGTGACTTTATTGGACTTACTTATAGGAGTATGAATGATGCCAAAGCGGCTAAGTCACCAAAGTCTTACCCTAACATAGATGGTGACTTCCTTAGAGCTGCCTAGATGGAGTTCCTCCTAATAGGTTTTTGCCCCCCCCCCCATAATAGGATTCTCTACCTATGAAGTAAACCAGATCAAGAATTGAAAAAGTACAAGAACGGGTTTATTTGAGCAAAGCAACTCCCAGACGGGTTCTCCAGTCCCAGAGGTCGAGGGTGGAGAAGCCACTCCCAAAATAACGAAAGCAAGGAGACCTTATAAGTTGTGGGCAAGGGGTGATGGCATGTCTGCCATAAGCTGGGTTCGTGCCCAAGTATGGTCAAAAGTTGAGCCCTTTAGGCAGGGACATGGAAGGCTGGCAACTTCAGGGGAGGACGCTGCGGTTCCACCAAGAATATGGACTGGGCTTTTGCTGCCCCTCCTTTGCTTGGAAACTCTGAGCCAGCGGAGTGTGGAGAGAGAGACAGAACTTTCCGGGTCATGCAGGGGCAAGCAGGAGGTACCAAGCAAACACCGCCACCCCATTACCTCTCTCTTCATTAATCTTCCCCACTCCATATATTCTGGGATTAAAGGCAGGTGCCACCAACGCCTGGCCCTGTGTATGTTTTTTTTTTTTAATGCTATAAAGAACTGGCCTCTTGCCGGGCGTTGGTGGCACATGCCTTTCATCCCAGCACTCAGGAGGCAGAGGCAGGCCGATCTCTGTGAGTTCGAGGCCATCCTGGTCTACAGAGCCAGTTCCAGGACAGCCTCCAAAACAATACAGAGAAACCCTGTCTCGAAAAAAAAAACCAAAAAAAAAAAAAAAGAAAGAACTGACCTCTTCTCTTGGTCACAGTGTCAGATTTCGACCTGCTTGTGGCCCTAACTAATTAGAAGCTCTGGTACCCTGTGTGATGGAATAAAGTTTGCTTCTGTTATCTGACTTTGGTGATTTGCCCTCCATTATTCGCCCTACCTCAGGACCCAACAGAACCATGTCACCTTTTTATGTAATGTTACAGGTTTTGGGACAGTCTTTTCTTTTTTCAAAACTGTTATAAAGAATGGTAAGTTAATTCAGGCAATGCATTTCTTCGCTAATGCCTATTATTGTATTCAAGGAGGCACAGTAGACAAACCACTGGAATGACTGCTTGATGGTATGGTTAGGGGGAAGGTTTTATTGTGCTTAAGAAAGAGAAACCGACTGGACATGGCCAGGGATCTACAAGAAAGGGAGAACAGCTAGAGAGCAAGAGGAATAGCCAGGCAGGGGGGATGTCCTTGCCATTATAAAGAGAACAAAGAGGTAGAAGGGAAGCCTGGGGTGGTTAGTGTGGACTTTGAAAGCTATAACAAGTGCTAGTGAATAGGGACTGAGGGAGACTGGAGGTCTGTGTGGGCTTTCATATGCAGCCACGGGTGTACCTCAATGAAGTCATATGTCCCTTCTGCCAGAGGTAAGGGAAATGACTCTTTGATAAATGGGAACCAGTTTCACAAGTTCCTGAAAGATGCTGTCTTTTATCGAACCTGAAGAAATCCTCCTATAGTTCTGGTATAACTGGGCCTAGACAGAATTTTTGGACCCCAAGTGCCATTGGAGCTGAAACCTATGTTATCATCTTTCTGTTTTCATTGCAAGTCACTGACAGAAATAAAGTAATTTTTAATTATGTATGATTATTTCATCAAATATCTAGTAGTAGTGACAGTCATAACAATGAAGACCTTTAAGGGTACAATTAAGGGAACATATTTGTATTACAACCTATTAAGTGCAGCTATGGTAAAACTACTAAAATATAAAGAACTATATTAGTTCTCTGTAATATTGCCCAAATGATTTGGAACTTTTTTTTTTTTTGGTTTCTCGAGACAGGGTTTCTCTGTGGCTTTGGAGGCTGTAGACCAGGCTGGTCTAGAACTCACAGAGATCCGCCTGCCTCTGCCTCCTAAGTGCTGGAATTAAAGGCGTGCACCACCACCGCCCAACTTTGGAACTTATTCTAACAGCAGTTGGAATGGTTGAAGGGTTTTCTGCAAGGAAGTCCAAAAATCATATGTAGGCAGAAGTTTCTGTCCTGACAGCAGCTCCCAGATACTAAGACTTCTGTTAATTATAAGTGCTTGGCCGATAGCTTAGGCTTGTTAGTTACTAACTAGCTTTTACAACATAAACGAACCCATTTCTTACCTAAGTTCTGCCATGTGGCTCATTGCTTATTACCTCATTTTGTAGACTGCTGTAGACTTCTCTGACTCTGCCCTTCTGATAGAAGTGTAGAAGTTGGTTTGAATGAGGAGCCACATGGGGATGTGGTCTTTGGAACATTCTAGGCCATCCAGGGCTACATAGTGAGACCTTGTCTCAGAAAAACAAATGAAAGAAAAGACTTTAGAAGGCTGCAGAATGACTCAGTCAATAAAGTACATTCCTTGGGGGAGCTGAGGACCTGTATTTGGATCACCCGCTTCCACATAAAAGTTACGGTGGGTGCCAATAATCTCAACACTTGTAGATACAAAGACGGGTGGATCTCTGTAGTTTACTGACTTTCCAGAGTAGCTGAATCAGTGAGCCCCAGGTTCCAGGGAGGCACTCTCCCTGAAGAAATAAGGTGGGTGGTATCTGAGAAGGAAACACCTGAAATTGCCCTCTGACCTCCCACATGTCCCCACACATGCCTGCACATACACACAAACGTGATGGGAAAGCATCCAGGAGCCTCTGGCCTCACATGCTGCCCTCATGAGTATACTACATGAACACTTGCACACATACACACAGCTGAAAGAAAAAACTTTAAAATAGTAATGTTAGCAGTTGAAGAAAGGTGTTTGTTGGGGGATGAGGAAACACATAACAGACACAGAAAAGACCCTCTGCAGAGCAGAGAGGGAACTCAAAGCCAAAAAAAAAAAAATCACCACTTAAAATATTACTATTGGTGTGTTTGTGGAATCTTTTTCTTTTTTTCTTAATGTAAACAAGTGTTTTGTTCACAAGAATGTCTATGCACCATGTATGTGCCACCTGCCCTCAGAAGTCAGAGGGTGGTGCCTTAGGGTTTCTATTGCTGTGGAGACGGGAAACACCAGGACCAGAAAACAAGTTGGAGAGGAAAGGGTTTATTTATTTGGCTTATACTTCAGCATTGCTGTTCATCACTCAAGGAAGTCAAGACTGGAACTCAAACAGGGCAGGTCCCTGGAGCTGATGCAAAAGCCATGGAGGGGTGCTGCTTACTGGCTTGCTTTCCCTGGCTTGCTCAGTCCACCTTCCCGTAGAGCCCAGGGGTGACACCACCCATCATGGGCTGGGCTCTTCCTGCATTGATCACTAAGTGAGAAAATGCCTTACAGCTGGATCTCAAGGCATTTTCTCAGCTGAGGCTTCTTCCTCGATGACTCTACAGCTTGTGTCAAGTTGACACACACAACCACCCAGTACAGGTGTAAATCGAACTGGAGTTACCAGTGGTTGTGAGCTGTCCTGTGGGTGCTGGGAATCTAACCTTGGTCCTCTGAAAGAATACTATCTCTTAACTACTGAGTCATCTCTCCAGCCCCTCACCTTTTTATTTTGTTTTGAGACTGGGTCTCACTTCAAGGCCAGGAACTAACAGATTTGTTTGCCTCTGCTTCCCCAGTGGAGAGGTTAAAGACTTTTCTTTCTTTCTTTCTTTTCTTTTTTTTGAAACAGGGTCTTTCTCAGGACCAAACTTATCTTTAGCAACATAACTGAAGATGGCCTTGAACTCATCCTGCCTCTGCTTCCCAGGTCTGGGATTGTAGGCATGTGCCACCACACACTGCTGTGTTTCTTTTGTTTTATTCTAGATGAAAATGACTGTGGTGAATTTGGTCAGTTGTTCAAACCCTTTTAGAATTACTTTATGGTTGTTGTTTTAAAAATAGCAGGAGAGGGCCAGGCGGTTGTGATGAAGGACTTTAATCCCAGCATTCGGGAGGCAGAGGCATGTGGATCTCTCTGTGAGTTTGTTCTACAAAAGATAAAGAAAAAAAGGCAGGAGAGAAATGCTATCATTCGATAGAGCTCTCGTGGGGGAAGGGGATGGGAAACGAGAAGAGAAAAGAGAGTCGGGCCTCTGGGAACCGGATAGAAGCCAGGAGCAGCAGGAGAAAGGGGAGAGAGATGGGAGATAGGTGGGCAAGGCCCACCTGTTATAAGGGAAAGTATCGAATGTGCACAGGAGGTGCTCCTAGTGGCTTGCAGCTGAGGACATATCCTGTCAGGACCCCAAGGGCAGGCCAGTACAGATGCCTGAATATTAACAATGGTTACATTCTAACTTATATGTTAAAGAATACTGATACATAAGGATAATTTGTTTTGATTAAAAGTTGAGAACTTTAACTTTTGTTTCATTTTACTTTTTCAGTAGCAGAAAGAGAATGAAAGAAGTAGATAACCTTGACAGTATAAAAGAAGAATGGTAAGTTAAGCCAAGCAATGAGTTTAATGCCTTTGTTATTTTCTTTCTGGGTTTTTTGTTTTTTGCATCTCACTGACAGAAATAGTAAAGCAGCTTTTAATTATATATGATCACTTATGCAAATTGGTAATAGTAATATATTTGAGGGTGGTTTGTTGTAATTTTTAGCCATAATCACATGCAATGAATGTAGTAAAAGTTTGTTCTTTTAACTGTATCCTAGAGCCCTTCCTTCTCATGACCTTGATTATTTTTCTCTTTAATATCCTTTCTTTGTGTGTGTGTGTGTGTGTGTGTGTGTGTGTGTGTGTGTGTGTGTGTGGTCAGAGGACAACTTTGTGGAGTCAGTTCTCTAATTCCACAATTATGTGGGAACTTGGGATTAAACACAATAAGTACTTCTACCACCTAAGCCAATTTACTGAGCCCTAAATACATTTTTTCTTCTTTTTTTCCTGGTTTTGGTCTTAATTTTTTGAGAACGGGTTTCTCTATATAGTCCTGGCTGTCCTGAAACTCATGCTGGCCTTCAATTCAGAGAGATCCTCCTGCCTCTGCCTGTGGAGTGCTGGGATTAAAGGCATGGGCCACCATGGCAGCCTGAGTCTGTTAAGATCAGCTTTGGCAAAATAGTGCAACTCCAGGGGTGGGGGGGAAATAGCAGTAATAAAAAGGGTTCAAAATAATGTACTTTGACTGGGCATATACCTTAGTTGGTAAGGGTTTTGCCTGGTATGATTGGCTCTGGGTTCAGTCCCCAGCACCATATAAATTCAGGATGTGGCCCCCTGCTTATAAAGCTAGCACTTGGTAGATGGAGGCAGTAGTTCAAGGCCATCATTGGCCGCTTAGAAGGTTTGTGGCCAGTCTTAGACATAGGAGACCATGTTGCTGCGGAATATTATTTTAAGGTGTGTTACATTTGTTTATGCTCTGAAACATCTGTTTACTGATGCAAAGATGTGTTGCATTCCTCTATGCTGCATTTGTTTAACTCTGTGAAGCTGTGTTACTTTGTCTGCCCCCACTTAAAAACCCTTGCTGCATGTGATTCCTCCTTATCACTTCCTGTCAGCTACTTGCTGCCTCAGCCTCCTACTCGAAGGTTAATTTTATTTATTCAAACACATCTTTGAATGACTAACAGATACTCCTTCACAGCAAAAAGTTAGCCTAAGTGTCTATAGAAATGGTCTATATTAAAATGTGTTTAATGACTTCCTCAGGATTATGTCTTCATTAACTTAGAAGTTACAGCACTTGATTTTTATTTTACTTTACTTTATTTTAATTTTAGGGTTTGTGAAACAGGACCTCCTAACAATCAACCCCTCAGTGATAACCAACAAAGGGGCTGTGAATATTTTGTTGACAGCCTTTTTGAGGAAGCAGAGAAGGTTGGGGCCAAATGCTTGTCCCCCTCTGAACAGAAGAAACAGGTAAATGTTACTTATTGACCTCTAGGAGGATCCCTGAAGTCAAAACTGCTTTTGTAATAGTAAAGCTATTATTCACTATTTTCATTATGTTGAATTGCACAGGTGTCAGAAAAGCAACAATGGGTAAAGTTGTTGGCATCTGTGCAAGAAGCAGAGCAGTCACAACCGAGTTATAAACTGTCGTATTACTTACTTGAATTTACAAAACAAATGTTTCTTCCAGTTAAGAATGTCTGTGATGGGGCTGAGGAGGTAGCTCAGCTGATAGAATGCTTACATAACAGACTCAAAGCTCTACGGTCAACCCAGCACTTTGTAAACTGGGGATGATGATACCATAGGCATCTGTAATCCCCACACTCAGGAGATGGAGAGTCAGGAGAACTGGAAGTCCAGAGTTGTCTGCAGCCACATAATTAGGTCAAGGCTGGAATATTCAGGATGCAAGGGAGCCAAGGTGATGGCTGTCAAGGTTTACATGGCAGGCACTCTAAGTGTGAGGAGCTGGGTTGGGACTCCCAACTGCCACATACGTACAAAGCCAGAAGATTCACTCCCAAGACTGAAGAGGCAGAGACACAGACCATCCCTGTGCTGGATGGCTAGCCAGTCTAGCTGAATTGGTGAACTCCAGGTTCAGTCAAAGATATTTCAGTCATAATAGCACCAGTTATAAACTTAGATAAACATAGTTTAAAAAGTAAACAAAGTCTGATTGTATATATATGTACCACATGTGTGCTGGCTGCCCTCAGAGAGTGTCAGTTCTGGAACTAGAGTTAAATATGTGATGTGGAGCAGGCACCAGGAACCAAACCAGCAACAAGTACTCCTGACTGCCTAACTATCTTTTTTTTTTTAATGATTTATTTAACTTTATGTATATTTGTGTGAAGGTGTCAGATCCCCTGGAACTAGAGTTACAGACAGTTGTGAGCTGCCATATGGGTTTTTGGGAATTGAACCTGGGTCTTCTGAAAGAATAGCCAGTGCTCTTAACTGCTCAGCCAACTCTTTAGCCCCTCTTTATTGGGATAAAATATCAATTAAAGAAAACACTGACATCAATGACTGGCTTCTACATACAGAGCGCACGCGCACACACGTACCCATTAGATTTGGCTGTTTTGGCAGGCATTTTCACAGAATAATTAATTAAGTGAGCCTGGTACTTCAAGGAAGACAACTTACAACTGTATGTGTTACAAATGCAAAGATTTTTACTTAGTCAACCTTTTTTTTTCTTTTAGTTTTTACAAGACAGGGATCCTCTGTATTATTTTGGAGGCTGTCGGACCAGCCTGGCCTTGAACTCACAGAGATCCGCCTGCCTCTGCCTCCTGAGTGCTGGGATTAAAGGCGTGCACCACCGCCCCCCAGCCTTAGTCAACTTTTAACCAGAATAGGAATTTGGAGAAATCTCTTTCATGCATTTGACAGATTTTCAAACTTACAGAATTTCTTCATGATGTTAGTGTTATTTTAATAGCTATAATGTCTTTCCTATAAGGAAATACATTAACATTTAGATTTTCATGACTTAGGGGACCACTGCTTTCCAAATGACTAATATGTTATTATGAAGTCATTCATTATCTGGGTGTGGTAGTGCAGGCCTGTGAACTCAGAACTTTGGCTGATGTAGGAGGATCTGGAGTTCAAGGCCAGCATAGGCTATTTAGTGAGCTCAGGGTCAGCCTTTCTTACAATTCATTCCTTTCTTTACTGCCTTGTAGGTAGATGTAAATATAAAATTGTGGAAAAATGGATTCACAGTCAATGGTGACTTTAGAAGGTACTCTGATGGTGCAAGTCAGCAGTTTCTGAACTCCATCAAAAAGGGGTAAGCAGGATATAGTGGAAGGGTATTTCAGACTAGTTTCATATGAAAGAATCATTGATCTTTATCTTTCTTCCCCCCACGCCCACCTCTCCCTCTCCCTCCAGGTTAGCCTTGGACTCAACAGTGCTCTGCCATGTTGTTTTCTGGGAGCTGGGATTAAAGACATGGGTGACCATGCCCATCCCAAGACCCCTTTTGTTGTTGTTGTTTTATTTTTTTTGAGACACGGTTTCTCTGTGTAACAGTTCCTGCTATCATGGAACTGTAGACCAGGCTGGCCTTGAACTCACAGAAATCCTTCTGCCTCTGCCTTCCTAGTGCTAGGATGAAAGCTGTGGTCCTTAGAGAGCCACAACTAATTTTTTGTTTTGTTTTATTGATATTGGGTCTCAAAATACAATATTGACTAACCTGGAGTATATTATGTAAACCAGACTGGCCTCAAATGGGATTATGGGCATGCACCAACAAGCCCAGATTACAGCTATGATTTTGAAGTTTAGGAATTTGAATTATGGTCAACCAAAGTCTTGCCACTTATTCCTTAATGCCATACAAATAAGCACATATACTCACACAAGCACATACACAATAAAACTTTTTAAATTAGCATCATGTAGCTGGGCAATGGTGGTACAGCCTTTAATCCCAGGACTTAGGAGGCAGAGGCAGGCGGATCTCTGTGAGTGAGAGGCCAGCCTGGTCTACAGAGTGATTTCCAGGACAGACTCCAAAGCTATACCTGTCAGAAAAACCCTGTCTGGAAAGAAAAAACAAAACAAAACAAAAAAGTAGCAGCATGTAATCAAGAATGATGAATTTGATAACTGGACATATGGTCTTTAAAATTACTTTATATCTCTCAGTGTTTGTGTATTTATATTTGGTGATAATACTTTCTATTATTTAATTATGAGATATCTTGTTTCATGTATTTATATTTTTTACATATATCTATTTATACATATAAGACTCCTGTGTGCCACAGTGTCCATATTGGAAGTCAGAAAACAACTTGGCAGGGGTTTGTTCTCTCCTTCCACCATATGGGTTCCAGAGATGAAACTCAAGTGATCAGGCTTGGTAACAAGTACCTTTACCAGCCCTATATATCTGTACAAGGGTCTGTTGTAGTCTAGGCTGACCTTGAACTTCTAATCCTCCTGTTTCTGTGTCCCAAGTGCGGGGATTATAGCAAGTACCACTATGGCTTGCTTATATGCTGCTAAGGATTAAACCCAAGACCTGCACGTGCTAGGCAAGTGCCCTGCCAGCTAGACTGCCTCCTTAGCCCATACACTACACTTCTACAGATCACATAGGTCTTTTGGCATATGGAATGTGTATCTCAGAAAAAGGGAAAACAGGAACTTTATCATTTTCTTTTCTTTCAAAGGGAATTACCTTCAGAATTACGGGGAGTTTTTGATAAAGAAGAGGTGGATGTTAAAGTTGAAGACAAAAAACATGAAGTCTGCGTGTCTACAAAGCCTGTGTTCCAGCCCTTCTCAGGGCAGGGCCACAGACTGGGAAGGTGAGTGTGGCTGTTGTGACAGACATTTCCTCACTATTTTTTTTTTTTTTTTGGTTTTTCGAGACAGGGTTTCTCTGTATTGTTTTGGAGGCTGTCCTGGAACTCACTCTGTAGACCAGGCTGGCCTCGAACTCACAGAGATCCGCCTGCCTCTGCCTCCCGAGTGCTGGGATTAAAGGCGTGCACCACCAACACCCGACTTTCCTCACTATTTTAACCATATAGAATTTAGTGTTTCTGCAGCTGAAAGTGATTTTTTTTTCCCTGATGCTGAGGCTCTAACCAAGAGCCCATAAAACATGTAAGGCAAATAGTTACTGCTGAAATAAATCCCCAGCTCCCAAATGAGATTTTTTTTTTAAGCTGATTTGGTTCTAGTTTGCTTTGTTTGTTTTAAGTAGGGTCTTTATATATGCAAGGATGGCTTTGAACTTCTGGTCCTTCTGCCTCCATCCCCCAGTGCTGTGATTATAATGTTTGCCACATGATTGGTTTTATTGGTATTGCAGATTGGACCAAGGATTTGTGTAGCTGTGTATGCTAAACAAGCATTCTACCAACTGAGTACATACCCAATCCTTTATTTTCATTTATTAGTAGTGGAAAGGTGTATACATTTTCAACTTTACTTCTAGGTATACCTTTTAAAATGCTTTTTTGGCTGGGCGTTGGTGGCGCACGCCTTTAATCCCAGCACTCGGGAGGCAGAGGCAGGCGGATCTCTGTGAGTTCGAGGCCAGCCTGGTCTACAGAGCTAGTTCCAGGACAGCCTCCAAAACAATACAGAGAAACCCTGTCTCGAAAAACCAAAAATAAAATAAAATAAAATGCTTTTTTTCCCTTGATTAATCAAGGACTAACCTCTACAGAGAAAGTAATTCTTTTAAGACACTCTTCTGTACCCCAGGTAATGCTAATTTACATGTCATTCTGTAAGTTTACAGATTAATTGAGTGTGCATAGTTTCATTTAATTCCTAGAACATATATGTTGTGAACATAACTAACATATTTATTACTAAGGGAGGAGTTGTGACTTATAAAACTCCTCTTAGAAACTGAGTTTAATATAAAATTTTTATGAGAGAACATGTATCTGATTTTATTGTTTGGATTTTCTTAGTGCTACACCAAAAATCGTTTCTAAAGCAAAGAGTGTTGAAGCTGAAAATGAAGGTACTTTGTCTGCCGTTCCACTGAACAACTTGGAGCCCATCACCAGGATCCAGATCTGGTTGGCCAATGGGGAAAGGACTGTCCAAAGATTCAACGTTTCTCACAGGTCAATCCTGAGTGCTTGACTGATTGGTTTTCCAGTTTTAAATTCTCTCTCTCTCTCTCTCTCTCTCTCTCTCTCTCTCTCTCTCTCTCTCTCTCTCTCTCTCTCTCTCTCTCTCTCTCTTCCTCCTTTTTTTTTTGTGGTTTTTTGAGACAGGGTTTCTCTGTGGCTTTGGAGGCTATTCTGGAACTTGTTCTTGTAGACCAGGCTGGTCACGAACTCACAGAGATCTGCCTTCCTCTGCCTCATGAGTGCTGGGATTAAAGGACCGCCTGGCCTCATCTCTTCTTTTAAATTTAGATAATGCTGATTTTTGAGAACTAATGAAGGCTTTTTTAAATAAATAGCTCTCCAACTTTAATGTGTCGAGCAACATAGGTTTCTTACATGTTGACTGTACTGTAGTTAGTTCATTCTCTCTATTTTTTTATTGCCGTGTACCTCATATTCATTAGGCATATATGCCCTACCATTAAACTACAGCCCAGCCCAATTTTTTGTCTACCATACATAAATAATTGTTTATCCATTTTATTCATTGGCAACAGTCCAAGTTTAAGTTTATTTATGCGGATGTGTTAATCTTCCTGCTGCACAGTACAGTCACAAAAATCCCATAAAATATGATACTGAGTTTTAAAAAGTTACAGAACAGGGCAGGGTGTGGTGGTATAGGCCCTTCACACTGGGACTTGGGAAGCAAGAGGCAGTAGATCTCTGAGTTAGGCCAGCCTGGTCCACATAGTGAGTTCCAGGCCAGGCCAGCCAAGGCTACACAAGTTCACTATAATTGTACAGTCTCTTTCTCCTGTGTTTCCTGGTATGCTTTGTGGATCTCTGCTGGGCTCATTTCCAGGTCACTGGCTCTGGGTTAACTTCTTCTGTCTCCCACTTTCTTAAACCATCAAAGGAGCTGACCCTGTTCTTGTAGAAGCACAAGATGCACCTGTGTTGCTCAGAATTACACTCTACTGGCCATGTTCTGTTTGTACAGAAAACGGTCTATCTGTCTATCCTCTCCTCTCCTTCCATGGTGTCCATTTTAAATGAGATGCCTGCATCTTCTTTGGACTCTCCATTCCATTTGTTGTTGTTGTATTTTGAATTTTTTGAGACAGTGTTTCTCTGTGTAACAGTCCTGGCTGCCCTAGAACTCTCATTGTAGACCAGACTAACCTTGAACTCAGATCCACCTACTTCTACTTCCCAAGAGGTAGGAGGCGTATGCCACCACTGCCCCGATGATCTGTTGGTTTTTTTGGTTTGTTTGTTTGTTAGTTTGTTTATTTATTTTGGTTTTATGAGACAGGGTTTCTCTGTATTGTTTTGGAGGCTGTTGGTCCAGCCCGGCCTCGAACTCACAGAGATCCACCTGCCTCTGCCTCCGAGTACTGGGATTAAAGGTGTGTGCCACCACCGCCCGGCTGTTTTTATATTTTTTTTACTTTATTTTATGTGTGTTGGTATGAAGGGGTCCAATCCCCTGAAACTGAAATTACGGCTAGTTGTGAGCTGCTTGCTATATGGATCCTGGGAATTGAATCCAGGTTCTCTGAAATAGTAGCCATCTATCCAGCCCCTGATGTGTTTATCTTTATGCCAGATCCACATTGTTTTTTGTTTTTTTGTTTTTTTAATTAGTGTTTGCCCAGCATACACAGTGCACGCTGGGGATTTAACCCAGGACTTCCTTCATGATACATACCTAGCACTTTCACTTACTTTACCAGTTGCCAAGAGGATTATACTAAAATCACCAACTAGAATTAGGAATTTGACTATTTTACCTTTTAATCTCTTAGCATATGTTTGCTTACCTGAACTACTTTCTTTCCTCCCTACATCTGTGTTTTTATGAACCAGGGTCTCACTTTTTTGCCCTGCTCGGTTTTAAACTCCTAGACATGAGTAATACTCCTTTGCCATTGTCCAGACCACACCCAGTTTGCTCTGTCTATCTGAAGCTATGTCCCCCAGAGGTAAAATTCTTGTATTTTTCTGAGTAATGTACCTCATAGGGGATAAAGTGTGTCTCCCTCACTGTTGGTAGATTAAGGTCTCTACAGTAAAACTTTTAGCTGGCTTACAGTGTTTATTAAGTGAATGGTTAGTCAGCTTGCATGGGCTATTTGCTTGTTTGTATCCCAGGTTGACCTGGAATTTTCTATAATTCAGGATGACTTTCAGTTTACAATACTGTCTTAACCGCCCTTGTGTAGGAATACCGGCTTGTACCACCATGCCCAGATAGGACTTGTTTTGTTTGATTTGGGTTGGTTTGGGTTTTTCACGACAGGGTTTCTCTGTGTAGCCCTGGCTGTCCTGGAACTTGAATTGTAGACCAGGCTGGGCTCTGCCTCTCAAGTGCTGGAATTAATGGCATGTGTGTCATCGCCACCCGGCCTTTTATGAGTACAGAGTCTTATCCTACATCTCACTGTGTAACTGAGGCTGGCCTCAGGCTAATGGAAGTCTTCCTGTCTCGCCCAACCTTCTGAATGATGGGACTGTAGTCATGTACCACCCATCATACCAAGCTTCAGACTTTCCTTTTTCTATTGGAATGCTTGTTCTGTGTTTTCTATTCATTGCTATGTGTGCATGTATATAATGGGGAAGAGGTGTGACAGTCAGAGGACAACCTTGTGAAGCTGGTTCTCTGCTTCACATTTATATGGATTCTGTGGATTGCATTCATTTCCTCAGGTTTGCATGCTCACTGAGGCATCTCCTGGCTAGAGTGATACATAATTTCCCCAAGTGTGTGGGTTTAGAGCTATCATCTTTACTCTTTTGTTTCTCTTTACTGAGAATTTCTTTATTCTTTGTGTGTGCGCGCTGCTCACTCACACATATGTGCACAAGCATGCGTGTGTTGTTTTTTCCTGAGTAGTTGTTTTCTTTGCTGTTTGGTTTTTTTGTTGTTGTTCTGTTGTTTTGTTTTGTGACCCTAGCTGGCCTAGAACTCTCATTATGTAGACCAGACTGGCCTAAATATTCATTCTGCTATTTTACATTCTATGTATGTATCTATCTTGTATGAGTAGGTGGTTAGGTAGGGAGTACACAGTGCCTGGGTGGGGGTGTCAGAAAACTGCTTTGTGAGAATCTATTCTCTTCCCATTCTGTGAGTCCTGGGGCACTAACTCAGGTTATCTGGTTTGGCAACAGGTGCTTTCACCCACTGTTACAGCATTTGAAGTTTGCATTTCTTCTTTAGGGTAGGTTGGCTGGCTGGTGTTTTTTAGGCCTATCCCGTTTTTTACTTTGCATTAACTTTGAGACATTTCTCACCAAGTTGCCAGACAGGCCTTGAACTTTCTCTGGATTACAGGCATTTTTTCCTCATCTTTTATATAGTTTTTGTTTTTTCTTTTGTTTTGTTTTCAGGCAGGGTTTCTCTGTGGGTTTGAAGGCTGTCCTGGAACTTGCTTTTGTAGACCAGGCTGGCCTCAAACTCACAGAGATCCTCCTGCTTCCGCCTCCCGGGTGCTGGGATTAAAGGTGTGCATCATCACCACCCAGCTTTCATTTGGTTTTAACATAGGATCTCCTGTATCCCAGGCTTAGGAAGTAGAGGCAGGAGGATCAGGAAAGTTCAAAGATAGCCTTGGCCACATTGCAGGTTTGAGACTGGCCAAAGCTCCATGAAACCCTATCTTGACAAAATAGATTTTACATTAGATTGGAGGTGCATCTTGATGCTTCCACAAAATCTTGGGTTTAATCCCCGTCATTGAAAGGTACAAAAAAGTTTGCGTCACTGACACAGCTGGTACATGAAGAACATGGACCTCAGAGAACACAGAGAAACCCTATCTTAAAAAACAAAGAAAACAGAAAAACTCACAAAGATGAATTAACTTTGATTCACATTCAAGAGTGCAATGATTATGGGCTGTAGATGTAGCTCAGTTGGTAGAGTGCGCGCACACACACACACAGAGAGGGGGGGGGGAGGGAGGGAGGGAGAAAGAGAGAGAGAGAGAAGAGGTTACCTAGAACTTGAACTCCAGCTGAGTAGTAGGAGTTCTTGGCAAGCATGTCTGAGCCTCTGGGTTCATTCCCAAAGGATAGGGAGCTTGGGATAGGTTGCTAGGAATATAGCTGTGTAGCTCAGATGGTAAGTACCTGCCTAGCATACTGGAAGCCTTGGGTTCAATCCCCAGGCACCACATTACTGGGCACTGGCCTGTAATCCAAGCACTGCTTTAAAAAACAAACAAATGACTAGTTGTATCATATAAAACTTTCTCTGGCCGGGTGTTGGTAACGCACATCTTTAATCCCAGCACTCAGGAGGCAGAAGCAGGCAGATCTCTGTGACTTCGAGGCCAGCCTGGTCTAAGAGCGAGTTCCAGGACAGCCTCCAAAACAAAACAGAGAAACCCTGTCTCGGAAAAGAAAAAAAAAAAAACAAACCTTTCTCTGTTCTCTATTTTAACAAATCCAAATATTTATACAAGTTGATGCTGCCTTAAATTAGCTAGTTCAGATCAGGTTTCCATAAATTAATAATATGTGGTATTTTGCAGGGTGAGCCACATCAAAGACTTCATTGAAAAATACCAAGGATCTCAGAGAAGCCCCCCGTTCGCCCTAGCAACGGCTCTTCCTTTCCTCACACTTCTGGATGAGACACTCACATTGGAAGAAGCAGATTTGCAGAATGCTGTGATCATTCAGAGACTCCAGATAACTTCTGAGCCTTTTAGAAACCTCTGACAGTTTTGATTTTTGAGAGACAGGGAAATGATGGTTGGAAGTGGACATGCAGAAGTGGGAGACAGAAGTCAGTTTGACTGAGCTTGAGGTTTGAGGGCTACTTAATTCCTTATGAGTTAGAGAGTAATGTATGCCTAGAAACCACAGTTGATGCATGTTTCTCAAAGGCCGCTAAGAAAAAAGTATTTTCAAATACTAGTTAACCAATACATATTAAAGAGCTGTATCATTAATCTCAATGTGGTCTAAATTAGCAAAGTGTCTACAACATTAGCATTGAAACATTATTTCCAAACAGCAGATATCAATGTAAATGTTAGCTATCTCAATTTTAAATAGCATCACTTGAAATATTGTACATGACTTGTTAAAAGCATCAGTGTAATTATTACGTTGCCTAAACCTTCTCAGTTTTCACTCTGTGATGGCAAGAGATATTCAAATATTAATTAGGCAACAGTGTCCAAGATGAATAATGTTTTAGGAATAAAATTGTGTAGCTTAGTACAATGTTAGTATTGGGTGCCTACACACTTTTCTATACCTTTTATATGTAATTTTATGGGCTGGGGATGTAGCTCAATAGTTGAGTATTTGCCAAGTATTTATGAAACCCTAGGTTCAATTAATCCCCAGCCAAGTATATATATTTTTTTAAATCATTTTTAATAAACAGAATGCATATTTATTTAAGTATATGAAGATAATATATTAAAACAAGGAAAGGGAGTACCAAATTCAAGAGAAATACATATAAAATTCATACAGTGGGCTTGAGGGCAAGGAAACATTAACACATATAAAGCATATAAAAACCAACGTACATGGCAACCCCTTCAAGGGGGGCTTTGCTCCACATCCAGCCCCCGGGGTCAGGGACACCAGTCCAAAGGACAGAGGCCTAGGAGGAGGCCTTGAGGCAGTTGCAGATAGAGTTTTGAGCTCAACAACTTGTCTACTGTGGTGCAGACATAGCGTAGCCGGCTAGCCAGTTCCTTGCAGCAGCTATATTCCTCCAGAAGGCTTAGGCAGTATGTACGGAAGTCCCTCTTATCAGTGTAGGTCACTGCTGCCATTGGATGAGTTCTGGAAGAAATTAATCTGTACACTGCTATCGCTGAGGTACAGAATGATGGCCCTGCGTGTGCAGAGCCATGTTTACAGAAAGGGAAGACTGGCCGGTTGTGGTGGCGCACGCCGGTAGGATTTGCTGAAGGAGGCAGAAAGGGAAGACTGGCCAGCTCATCGTTTTCCCCAGGGTGTGATGCTGGCCCCTGACTTTAGCAGGTGTTCACTCATGTAACAGGTGGAAATAGGTGAGGGGCGTGATCTTCAAGGAGTTAGGGTGTGTATGGTAGGCTGTGACCATCATTGTAGAGGTTGAGGTATGTTGAGTCATTAAAGAGCACCACCATACTGCAAACAAAGAATTATTCAAGAACCACAGTTCATTCTCTTCCAAAAAATTTTCCCCCAAAACTAGGAACTTATTTTTAGCCAGTATTTGTAATTAGCCATTTGTTTGCCACCTCTCAACTATAATCTATTTTGTCATATTATAAATTTATGAATGTTTCTACATTTCTCATGTATCTACAAAAAAGAGAGAAAGTCTCCTTTGTGGATTTCTCAGTTTCTAATTATCAGGGGGTTTTCTTGTGTATCTTGTAGAGTACATGTCAGGGAGAGTTTCCAATAGGAAGAACAGTTATCAGCAATAACTGGTGTTTTTTTTTAAACTGTGAAAATGTTAGCATAAACAATGTTCTTAAAGATAATCATCTGATAAAGCTTTTACTTGAAATTTAAAAATTGTGAAGTTGCTAGAGTCCTTACCACAGGTTGGCTTTGGAAAAATAAATGCCAAGAAAGCAAAACTTGAAATAAATGAGCATCTTAGGAGTGGGATGCAATTTGACCAAAGTCATTGCTTCAAATTTGTCACCTGTCAGTTATCTTGCTTATAAGGTGGACATACAGAAGTACATATCTGATATACATATCCTGATTTGCTAGATTATTATGCGCTCTCAAAGCTAAAATAACCTTACTTTATCATGTCTCACTCAGTAAACTTCATGTTTCCAAACATTGACAGTGCAGTATGTGTATTTATTTTAGTGCCTTAATATGTTGTAGAATATTATTTTATTTAAGGTGTGTTACATTTGTTTATGCTCTGGAACATTTGTTTAACAATGTAAAGATGTGTTGCTTTTGTTAGTGCTGCAATTCTATAACTCTGTGAAGCTGTGATTCTTTGTCTGTCTAAAACACCTGATGGTCTAATAAAGAGCTGACCAGCCAATAGCAAGGCAGGAGAACGGATAGGCGGGGCTGGCCAGCAGAGAGAATAGATAGGAGAAATGAGAAGGAGCAAGATAGAACAAGGAGAGAGGATGATGTCAGGGGCCCACCAGCCAGGAATGATAAGAGTGAAAGTAAGATATATGGAAGAAAAGGAAAAAACCCAGAGGCAAAAGGTGGTTTGGATAATTTCAGAAAAACTAGCTAGAAACAAACCAATGCTAAGGCCAGACATTCATAAGAAAAAGTAAGCCTCTGTGTGTGATTTACTTGGGACCTGGGTGGCGGGTCCCCCAAAGAGCCAAAGAAAGAATAAACTACAAACAACATGAATGTATTTTGATGTGATATTTTGCTAATGGTTAAATGAACTGTTCTAAGGTAAAGTGCTGTTCATTGAAAGGATCTGTTAAATAATTTACACTTGGTATAAAACAGTTACGTGTGAATGCGTTTGTCATTATTTGTCATTCAGTTTGAGAATGATTATTTGTTAGATGCCTTTTCTTTAACCAATGTTATCTTCATTTCATGTTCAGAAATGTGAAAAAGTGATATTTTAGTACCTACCCAGTGATTGTATTTGTTCCTAAGACATAGCATGGAGGTTTATTAATATATTCCTTTTTGTTCTTCTTTGCCAAAGAACAAACCGCTTCGGTAAAAAGTTGCTCATCACACTGGATCCTCAGAAATGACTTACTCATTACATTTATATCTTGTTCTTTGCCATTTGTTTTAAATTGTTTTGGCACAGACAATTCATACTCATAATTCATACTCATTATAGAAAGTTATAAAATACCAGTTCCAAAGATAATCTCAGTGTAAGTTGACGTGGGTTCTCAAGGTAGCTGTTTTGTCAGGCACAAAAAAAATAGTCAATGATTTTTAAGTCTATTCAACTATAGGATATATCATTTTGGAAATTTGCATCTCCTTATAAAGGAACTCTTGAGCGTGCTAGCGAACACCTTTCATCCCAGCACTCGAGGCAGAGGCGGGTGGATCTCTGAGTTTGAGGCCAGCCTGGTCTACAATTCAAGTTCCAGGACAACCAAGGCTACACAGGGAAACTATCTCTAAGAAAGACATACACAACCATAGCCAGCGTGAGCATGTTTTTATGTCCTTATAGTTCATCTGTGTATCTTTAGAGTATCACGTTATGAATTTTAAAATGAGATTTTTTTCTGCTATTAGGAGTTACTTGTATATCCCAATACAAGTACTTTATAATTTGTGAATATTATCTCGCACGTGTGGGAGAACACAATTGCCTTGCCGCGTGTGATTATCTGCTGCACAAAGTTTGTCATTTTACTATGGTGCAACGTGTGCTTATGTCCTAAGGTACGGTTGTCTAATATGTGCATTGCACCTGTTGCTGGGCTTTGTGTCCCCAATAAACCAGGTTGGGCCGCCCATTCTCCATACACTAACTCAGTCACATGAGTGGCGAAAAGGGAGGCATATTCAGGGTTAGCACGTTGAGGACAGTAACGAAAAGATCCAATGACCTCCAAAGTCCAAGAGGAAGTGGGACTCCCCAGTCCGGCCACGGCAGTCAGCAAGACTAGCAGACAAGTAGAGATCCTTCTCTAAGAAGTTCCTTCCGGCTGCTCAGGGCCTTATCCCCAGGAGGAGTTGATTGTTGGGGGAGGGGGCTCTGACGAATTTCTGGGGTTCATTATTTCAGTAGTCTGATAATAGCAGGCAGGCTAGTCACACTCTTGACAGTTTTATACAGTGCAGCCCTTTGCCTTTTAAAGCACTCCTGGGACATTGCACCCACCGCTCTTACTCACGGCCTGGACTTAGTGGCACAGACATACCTACCAGTTAGCGATAGGAGAGCCTGGGGAATGTGCCGTTCAGGCTGAAAGCCCACTCAGCTATAGTAGAGTGTAGAGTGCATTGCTTCATTTAAAGACTAAATTTATTTGCTGGCTTTCACCCAAAGGGTGGGGGTGGGGTTAGCTAAGGGTTTCTGTCTAAAACACATCTGCCAAGAGAAGAAAATCGCCAGTCTCCGAGGACTTGGCAACTTTTCCCAGGTGTATGGCGATAGGCAAGCTCTTCCTTGGAGAAGAGAACCGGAAGCTTCGAGGTCCTGGGTATCCCCAAGCTGCTGCCACAGACCAGACCGCAAAGGACTGCTGGGACTCCCGAGGGGCCGGCTGCCTGCACGCCCCGGGCCACGCCCACTTGACTGGACCCACCCCAGGCACTACAGAGCCCAGAGATGCGCAGTCAGAGGAGCAGCCCTGAGATGTTGCCTCAGGAACCCACCCAGGCGGCCCCGGTAGCAGAGCCTCACACCCAGGAGCCAGGCTCGGTGAGCGCCAGGAGGGCGAGAGGGAAGTGGGTCTGCTCGGCGCTCCCTTGGGCAGGGAAGAGAGGCACCTGCCACAGCCTTTCATCCAGATGTTGGGCAGAGTAGAGTTTGGTGCCACTGGGACACCCCAGAGAAAATAGGATGGAACCCGGAGTCCTGACATGAAGTAGCAAATAGGCAGGAAGGACCTGGTCTCTCTAGTGTCCTGATCCCAGGCCACTGCGGGTCATTCTGGAAGCCTCTTCATCCCTGGCAGATGTTAGTAACAGGGCTGCCTCTCTTCCCCAAACTCCAGGCTGCTCCTGTGGACTTAGCCTCCCTCTGAAATCCTGTTGTTGCCCAGGCAGGAAGGGGCTTTGGAGGAACGGGGAGACGGCAGATGGGAACCCAAGGTGTTCTTAGGCCCTCTGCCGATTTCTCTATGGGAGATCTGGCGCTGAGCCTGATGCTGAGGCTAGTGCCAATGCCGGGGGAGGGGTTAAGAGCCTCGGACTGTGTCGTACTCAGCTGAGAACCTACCCCAGTCCCACCAGCAAGGTCTTTCTGCGGCTCAATAGACTACCTCCTCCATCCCCTATCTTTTTTTTTTTTTCAAGACAGGGTTTCTCTGTGTTGCTTTGGAGGCTGTCCTGGAACTCGCTCTGTAGACCAGGCTGGCCTCGAACTCACAGAGATCCGCCTGTCTCTGCCTCCCGAGTGCTGGGATTAAAGGTGTGAGCCACCAACGCCCGGCTCTCCATCCCCTATCTTGATTCAATGTTTACTATCAGGCAAAAGAAAACACATCCCTCAGCCTGGACACTACCCTGGGTGAAATGATAGATTCTAGATATCCCCTATGTGGAAGGAATTGGCAATAGGGTGGGAGGATGGGGGGGATGTGGGGGGGTGCGGGAGGAGGGGAGGGAGAGGGAACTGGGATTGACATGTAAAACAAGCTATTTAAAATTAAAAAAAAAGAAAAAAGAAAAGAAAAGACATCCCTCAGTTGGGAGGCATCGGTGTGCCTGTAGTCCCAGATCCTGGCTGAGGAGCCTGAGGCAGGAAGATTCCTGGAGGTTCTGAGAAGCACAGTAAGACCTTACCAGTCCTCATCAGAAAAGTGGATGAGTAGAAATGTAGCCCAGTGGCAGAGGGTTTCTCTACCATGGGAAGACTCCTATATTGGGCTGGGAACTCTCATTTTCCAGGAAAATTCAGAGAGACTGCCACGAAGCCCCAGTGTTTAATTATTCTAGTTCTATGAGGTGTGTATATCTGCGCTTTGCTTGTCAAGAAGCTGAGGCTCCACAAGGCTCAGTGCCTTGCCTAGGTCACACAGCCAGCTTGTCTGTTTGTACAATGCAGATTCCATGGACTGATGGGGTAAGGCGACCAAATGATCATTCCAAAGACTGCACCACCTCAGTTTCTGCTGGAATTTGTTGGGCTGGCCCTCCCTTATCTAAAACCTCCATAGGCCCATTTAGGGGGAAACAAGAGACTCATTATGGGATGGGAATCCACTCACACTGGATTTTGCCAATTAAGCTTTTGTGAAGCTGTAATAATGTTCACACAAATGTCAGAAAAAGAATGCACCCAGCTTTGAGAGTGGTTTTTCTCCTGGAGTAGGAAGCATGTGTGAAGTATGTGATAAACCTTATCTGGGAAGACCTTCCCTTCCATGCAGCCTGCCTGTGGTGCCTACAAGATACTGAACTGGTCCCTTCCTCTCACTTCTGTCCCCAGGCAAAGGATGAAAAAAATGATTCCTAGCATTATTTGAACATAGTGCACTTTACAGTGCCCTCCAGGCCATTGATTGTTTTAAAAACATATTAGCACCTACTGTACACTTAGGTACTGGAGGCGCCACAGCGAGTGAGGAAGTCTGTGCTCTCAGTTTTCCTGGTGTTGGGGAAAGGAGGAGTAGATCAGAGTTTACCAGGCAGTCTGGGCAATTCAGAGACCTAAGTTGTCAGGGACTGCCTCTGAGGAAGGAATATTTAAACTCACACCTGAATGGCAAACAATCAACTCTTGAAAGACACAGATGAACCTTCTAGAAAAGACAGAAAAACCCAAATGTTTTTCTTTTGTTTAAGTTAAAGAGAAAGCGCCCTAGATGGAGATGGATCGCAAACCATAGAGCTAGGGTTTATTCCAGGCGCAGGCGGGGGAGGGGGAGAGTGAGGGGGAGAGATGAGAAGAGATGAAGAGGGTCAGAGAAAAGAGAGAAGAGAGGGCGTAAATGGGCAGGGGTCTGTCTTTTTTTTTTTTGGTTTTTCGAGACAGGGTTTCTCTGTAGCTTTGGAGGCTGTCCTGGAACTCACTTTGTAGACCAGGCTGGCCTCGAACTCACAGAGATCCGCCTGCCTCTGCCTCCCAAGTGCTGGGATTAAAGGCATGCGCCACCAACGCCCAGCGGGGTCTGTCTTTCAAAGGGGTCCTTTATACCTGTGTGCAGACGAGTACTCATAGAAGTCAAGGCTGACCAGAGTGCTGCCTGAGTGCATTCTGCCAGGTGACAGGGGCGGGCCAGCATAATCCTGAACCTATCATTCTCACCTTTGCTTATTATTAAAAAGGTGGGGAGTTAGGCATGGCAGGCTAGGGAATAAGGCCGTCGAGTCCTCAAAACTGCTTCCTGCTGACCTGGGGGGAGTTGACCATCTTTGGGGGACCTGAGAAAGCTGGGCTGCTGCCACGTCTTGGCATAGCTGGTTGTTTCACTGCAGTCCAGGCTGTATGGGACTCTCTGGCGCCTCTTAGACCTGGCAAGATGTTAGCAGAGTACAGGACAAGGTTAGGTTTAGAAAAACCTTTTTTCTTAGGTTCTGGTACTTGAGGGGAGGATTGTAAGATGAGGGAAGAATTCCCAAGGGGGCCCCCAGATGAGGGTTTGAACAATAAGAACTCCACCAAGAAAGCTATTTGAAGTGAGGGAGGGAATGGGATCAGAGTGGGTTTGATTAGACAGTAAGGACTGACAAGTTACTGGTTTTAAACAGAGAGCAGACTTAGTCTGATCTATGTTATTCAAAGAGTACTGGCTGCTGCAGGGGGAGCCGACTGGTGGCCTAGGAGCCACTTAGGAGGCTCGCCTGATAGATGTGGCAAGGGGATTGG